GAATTCTGTATTGTCCTTTCAGCATGAGCTTGCCAGAAAGGCCACCAGTGAACTGCAGTCTTTATATAACACTGCCTACACATATGGCAGCATCATTACTACCATCTGTAAGAACATTTACCATTAATATAAAGCACTCACTGTATATATCATACCAATACCATAATGATTATTAATTATGATGTTCTCATTGTTTACCATGTCTTCTCTCAGATCAAGCTGATGGAGTCACTACTGACTGGGCCTATGAACAGGGCATCAAGTACTCCTACACCTTTGAGCTGAGAGACACCGGTCGGTATGGTTTCATTCTGCCAGCCGATCAGATCCTGCCCACCGCCGAGGAGACCTGGCTCGCTCTGATGGTCATCATGGAGCACATCAAGAATAATCCTTATTAAGCATACAGCATTTTTGTGATTAGTCAAAGTGCAGGAGTAAGCCAAAATGTACCATCAGCCGGTCATTAATGCAAAAATGGGTTTACTTTTTGTATTAATGGTTGTCAGATTGTAGGTTTTACAGCTTATTACATTACTTGATGACAAATTAATAAATATGTGATATGAAATATTAAAATCTTACCTATATATTCAGCTTTCGGAGGAAAGTCATCGATTATAGTGCACATATAAGGTATATGAACTTTTTAAGGTTATTCCCTTCGTACATTATTTTATTACATTTCAAAAATTATGTAAACAGAGTCAGTTACTTAAATAACAATACACAATACTTCTAAACCAAACAAATTCAATGGCCTCTGTTACAACCCTGCTGAAAAAAATTAAGAATTTAAGCAACTGCATGTCACAGAAGTAATGACTAAAAAATAAAAAGAAGTAATGAAAAAAATAAAAACATCAAATTGACCATTAACGCCAATAGGTTATATAATGTTTATAGTGTGTTTTGAAACATATTCATGGTTACATATTTGATGGTACAATGGTGCTACTACATTAAAATAACCATGATTTTTTTTGCATTTGAGAAGAAAGACTGAAATATGCACAATTTATGACAGCAAATATTAGGGAATAACAGCTGAATACCAGGACTGAAAACAGTACAGAAACAACTTGCCTACAACTTTGCAACAGACTGCAACATTGCGGGAAAATGAGTCCAATTAGTTTATTAACTAGAGTAACGGGAGTTCTTATTTGCTTTGACAAGGGCTTACAAAATCATAGTGTGAAGTCCTGGGGTTATAGCTTTTTCAGGCCGGCTACCTAAATCTATCTACACTGTGCCCAGTGGGATATAGATAGATTTTGGTAACCCAACTAAAAAAACAAAAGCCGCAGGACATCAGGCTAGCAGATTTTGTGAGCCCTGAAAGAGGCCTATAAGATAATTTTCATAATGTGGACAGCTCGCCCCACTGAATAAAGACACTGTGCAACTACTCACAAACAACATGATGACGAATATTCATGAAAGTAATTTAAATACAACATATGTCAACAATAAAAAAATGTATCTTTATTCAGTCCATAACAAAGTAATAAACCAGGTAGCTTTCATTCTATAGATTAAATTAATTATTCATCATCAATAAGTCATGTTCTATGAAAGAACGTGAATTTAAAAGAGAAATACAGAAAACAAAAGGCCAAAGCATTCAAAGCACATTCTTTACAACTCTGTGTGTACATTATATCAGCAATAGCTCCAATAAATGCACTTTAGGTTCCTTCATCACGCTCTGCAATAAACACAGCAACATTATCTTCATTAATGCCCATAATCACAGCTACATTTCAAAACATTAAAATCTTTCCGAATGGGCTCTTGAAGCATCAGCCATTTTAACAAATGCACTAAACAAACAGACGAGCTTGTGTTTAAGGCATTGAAAAGCACATCTAAAATATTTCTAAAGAACTGCAGCATAAAAACTACCTACTGAGCAAGTAAACATACAGCAGCTAAACCAGCATGCTCAATGAACAAATCATTTCATAGCACAATCTAAAGCAAATTAGTCAATAAGTGAAGTCATTTCACTTGTTACCACTCTGGTGCTGTGTTTCAGTTTGTCCTCAATGTTTCCGGTGTTCCTCTGTTCCACACCCTCATTTGTTCCTGTGGTTTCCCCAGTTACTGTCTCTGCTCCTCTTCTTATCTTGTCAGCCATTTTGTATAAAACCAGTTAGCTTTGGTCAGTTGTTCTGTTAGCAATAAGAACGTAAAGTAAAATACCAGATGGCAGTAATGCAATGCAAAATATTCAAGCTGCCTCTAAAATCCCAATAAGAGGAAGAAGAAGAAGAAGAAGGAATTGTTCTGTTAAGACTGACTGAAGCAAAGAAACGTTTTCAAAATGGCTGACAAGATAATGAAGAGAGGAGGAGAAAGTAACTGAAAAACCATGGGAACAAACGACAGCGTGGAAAATACAAAAAAAAAGGGTGAACAAAAAAAATAACAAAACAAAACACAGCATACAGGACCAGGTTTGTAACACCACTAAGACCTGCTTAAAGAAATACTTCACTTCGTTTTGGAAATGTTCATTTCACAAGTCACATACAGTTTCAAATCCATTGAGCCAACCTATGGGTCTGGCGGTAGAACTTTTTGCTTAGCTTAGCATAGATCATTGAATCGAATTAGACCATTAGCATCTTACTCAAAAATGGCAAAATATTTAGATTTTCCTACAGCTTGAATCTTCTGTAATTTCATTGTGTAGTAAGGCTAAAAGGAAATCAAATGTTGCTGTTTTCTATAGGTTGAAATGGCTAGGAACTGTACTTTCATTTTGTCGTAATAATCAAGGAATTTTGCTGCCATACCATGGCTGCAGCAGGCGCAATGATATTACACAAGTTCCTTGATTATTATACCGGAATGAGAGTATAGTTCCTAGCCACATCTGACTAGAAAACAGCAACATTTAATTTTCTCTTAATCTTAGTACACAATGTAACTATAGAAACCTTAAATAGGAAAATCATGAAAACACTTTTCTTTTTCATTTTAGGGAGATGCTAATGGTCTAATCAGATTTGATTTGAACTATGCTAAGCTGAGCTAAAAGTGCTCCTGCCATCTGAATGGATGGATTAAAAAATTTGAAAACTGATCTGTTTAACTCCAGAGGAGTTGTAAAATGAGCATATTTTCAAAATATGTTCTTTTGATAAACTATGTAACATTTAGACGAACACTACATATGCATTAAAATTGACATCTACCATTTTTTTTTTGAGTATAAATGGTTCAACGATGCCCAAAACAGTTAACAGTGCTAACTCAGTAATGGATTTCGATTTTAAACACATAGTTTGGATTTGAAGTTTGTAGTGCAAAAATGTGTATAAAACCATTTCAGTGCCATTGTTGTGTACTTTCAGGACTAATTTATGTTTAACTTCTTCACAGAATTAAACCATGTGCATGTGGCATGATAAATGTGAACTGAAAAAAATACATGCCAGTGGTTTGTCCATCACAGATGTTCAGAGGAATCCTGCTAAAGTAAAACAGCATGGATTTATTTATGCATTGAAGTGAAGCTGTGACCAGGTGAAAGCGAGGGTTATTTCCAGGGTCGACTACTTCTTGAACGAGCACTTTCTGATCCTGCTATGGATGAACCTTGTCGACTGCTACCGACTGTAGACGCTTTGGAGCGAGCGCTGCTAGTGGACATTCTGCTGCTGAGGCGACCTAAAATTATTAAGTGTAAAATTAGATTACTTTTTTTTTTCACACTTCCATTAGGTTACATATGTTAGTGTATTTACTAACATGAACTAAGAATAAACAATACTTGCACAGCATTTATGAATCATAGTTCAACATTTACTAATGTATCACTAAAATCTAATTTTGTGTTTGGTGACATTAGTTCATGCACTGAGTTAAAAAGGACTAAAATGACTGACTTTTCATTAGATAGCAATAAAGTAATTGTTCACCCTGAAATGAAAATCATTTATTCACCCTTCACTTGTTAAAAAAACTATTTGAGCTTCTTTCTTCTGTTGAACACACTCACAGCTTCCATAGTATTTTTTTCCTGAAAAGGAGCACAATCGCCAGCAAACAGCATTCTTCAAAACATCTTTAGTGTTCAACAGAAGACAGAAACTCATAAAGGTTTGAAATGACATGAGGAAGGATAAATAAAGTCATTTTTAATTTTTTAGGTGAACTATCCTTAAAAATGTACTGTTCATAGTAAATACTGGAACCTTAACATAAAGTGTAAACAGAATAGATTTTTTATGCTGTTGGAAAAAAGAATTTCACCAAAGGTATTTTTTTAATCAAAATCAAACTGTTTAAATTTACTTAAAATGTAATTTATTTCTATAATTAAAAGGATCCAGTCTGATGACATATCTTTCAAATAAAAATATTGTCATTTAGGGAATTTTTTTTTTAAGAAAATGACCATTGAAAATCAGGATTCTACCAAATATTTCTTTCTTAACTTTTCTGAGGTTTAAACACTGGAACTGTGCAGTCCACAAAATGAACATGTCTGAAATTATTATTTTAGTATTTTATAAGTATATTTAAATATTTATTTTAAAATATTGTAATCTGTAGTTTATTAAATAAAACAAAATGACATTTTACCCAGTCATATAACTATACATCATCAATCCAAGGAAACTGAGACTTTTCAAGTGGTCTCATTTTCCATAGTTGTATTTAACATATGTACAGAATTAAATGAAACCAGTTCCTATTAAATGGATAGTTCATCCAAAAATGAAAATTTTCTTTTCATTTACTCGCATTCAAGTGGTTCCAAACTTTGATTATCTTTCTTCTGTTGATCACAAAAAAAGATTATAAAAAAATTAAAAAAAGAAAGTCTGACCACTGACATTCATAGTAGGTAAAACAAATACCTGAGAAGTCAAAGGTTTTTAGTTTCTATTATTCTACAAAATATAACTTTTTGCGTTTAACAGAAGAAATAAACTCAAACAGGTAAATTTTGGGTGAAATATCCCTTTAAATGATTCACACGGTCAGCTGTGGCTGAATTTGTATATATTGTTGCCATCTGCTGGTGAAAGGTTTCTAATACAGATCGACCATGTTTTTCACTTTGTTTTCATCAGATCTGAAAGGACTGACTCACTGCTGGTTTCACTGGGTATGAACACCTCCTCAAGGTAATGCTGGATTTTGTCAAGATCTTCTGCTGTGAACCGCCACTTTTTCTCTGCCAACTGTGATGTCTGGTGCTGTGCTGATCGCTTGCGTCCTGCAGGGCCTGTTGGTGATGGCAAACAGGAGATGGGAACTGAGCCGGTCGTCATTCCTTCTGGAAACTTCTGAGCAACCACTTTTAACCCTTGTTGAGAAAAAAAGAGCTGTTAATTTAAAAATGTGTATACAATTCTTGGTCTAGATTCACAAAAATATTCTTAGGATATTAGTCAAGAACTTTTTTTAAAGGAATAGTTGGCTTAAAATGAAAAAGTGCATCTTTACTCATGTGGATTTAAACCTTTATGAGTTTCAATCGTATGTTGACCACAAAAGACGATATTTTAAAGAATGTAGTTTGCTGGGGTTCAGATTTGTCCTTAACTT